GCCCTTCTCCCCAGAAACCCCAAATGCTGATTTTCTTTCCAGAGCCCTCCGGCCCTTCTCCCCAGAAACCCCAAATGCTGATTTTCTTTCCAAAGCCCTCCCGCCCCTCTCCTCAGCCACCCCGAGCACAGCAGCAAACAATGCCCTTTGGATGGATCACCAAAACTGGTCAGCTCTGCTGACTTTTGGCAAACTTTGTGGCCCTTTTGGCTCAGCTGTCCCCACAGAGGGGACAGGTCCCCTGATGGCCACAGCTGATGGCCTCGGGTCGCTCTCTGGCCCCTGCACAGCTCTGCCCACTTTTTCTGTCCATTCTTTGCCCATGAATGGAATGAAAAGCTCCTCGCTGCAAGTATGGGTACAGCAGAGCTTCGTAAGCAGAAATATCCAGCCCAGACCTCAGAGCTGCTTCCCTTTACTCAGAGCAAAGACCAAGGCAGACAGCATTCAGAGGACTGGATTTCAAAAAGTGCAGAGCATTCACAATCGTACTAAAATCAAAATTGTAGTCACTTTAGCTGGTCTGAAAATCAGAGACTGGGTTTAAAAGCACTCCACACCCCTGAGCCTTAGCATTCAAATCACTTTGCTTTCAACACCTTCCCTCATCACTGAAAATCTAGTTTTGAATGGGAGAGATTTGAAACCTCTGAAAAATTCAGAGCTCTCAAAAACTACTTAGACTTGAAAGGTGCAGGCACCATACAAGAGACTGACACCCTGATGGCTTTCCAAAAAACATGCAGGAATTCAAATAAAAACTAGCAGGTGGCAGGTGTCTAAATGCTCCTGTGGACTTCTGTGTCTCTTCAGACACTTGATTTCCTCAAAAATGTGTCCCAAGCAAATACTTGTCTATGGTCCAGTAAAAGTCATTTGACAGAACAGGGAACAGACCCTGGATTCTCTCCCTGCCTTTTTTTATCCTGTCATCAGGCAAATGCCATTCCCTTTGAAAATCCTCCTCCTCCTCCCTCAGGAATGGCACACTGCTGGCAGCCCTTTCTTCCCAGCCGTGGCCCCCAGCTCCTAGACCCGTGGTTTCAAAACAAAAGGGGAGCAGAAACCTCCCCAGGAATGGAATTTTTACCTTCTATGGAAAAGAATTAGAGATTCCAACAAAAGCAGCATAGCTGGGCTGTTTGTTTTAGGTGAACATGCAGCAATATTAAACACGAAGCAAGAAAAGTCAGATCAGTGAAATCTCAGCACTTCTGTTCCCAGCGTCCCTGCCACTTGTGATAAAATTGGTAATTATTTTCAGGAGCAAGGTGATTTTCAGCCACTCAGCGAGGTGGCAGCAGCTGAGGTGAGTCTGGGGGTGAGGGTCAGGCTGTGCTGCACAGAAGGCAAGACCTGATCTGGCAGTTTGGGGAAGTTTGGGGCAATTTGGGGCAGTTTGGGCAGGACAGGCCCCAGGATGCTGCAGCACAGGCAGTTTGCTCAATCTGTGATCCTATGAATAATAACAGCAATTCAACAGTAAGAGGCACAAGTGAGCTACAGGTGCCATGGGAGCTCAGGTTTCTGTGCTGAAGAGCAGAAGCAGGTATTTTACTCAAAATCTTATTCTTTGCAAGTGAATTGTTAACGTAAAAAGGGTTGCTGGTTTGTGCAGTGCATATTTAATCTTTGGGAACTGCTGTAATATTGAGCTGATTAACCAAATGTGTTTTTTCCTTCTCTCCTCTGAAGAAGTCATTTATTCTGACAGCTGCACTGAACTGTGTAAGGACCAAACTAAGCAAACCTGCCCTGCAATGCACTTCTTAATCCTTGTGTATCCAGTTGTGTAAATAGGCTTTGAAATTAGCTGAGGGTGTAATTTTGGGGGTTTACACCTCTTTGCAATTCAGGATTCCACGCAGCAGCACAGGAGGGTGTGAAGAAGAGCCAGGCACAGGGGGTCACCTCTGTGCTGGAGCACCTCTGCTGTCACCTGCAGGGCAGGGGAATGGATGTCACACAGTGACAAGCTGCTTCCCTTGCTTGTGCTTTATTGATCAGCCAGCCCAGTCTGCACAAAGCACTTGAAATAAAGCCCATTCATGCCCGGAAATGGGAGTTGACAGCAAATTAATTTTTAATGGAGCTTTTGCAACATTTGTGACATTTCTCTTGACATCAGCAGGGGCTGTGGGTGCTCAGCACACCCAAAAGCCACATCTGTGTTAGCTCAAATTCTTGTCTTTAAGGTCCCTTCTAAGCCAAACCATTCTGTGATTCTATGAAGACACAGCAATCTGTGGAAAGGATTTACTAAGGGCACAAAGCATGAATTTGTTTTGGGGTTAGGACAGAACAATAATTTTAATTAAGTTCTTTAAATGAATTTGGATATTGAGCTTCTAACTAAGAGCTGAATGTTATGGAAGTCCTCCTGTAGAAAGTATTGCTCATGTCAACCAGTGGTTACTGGTTCTTGGAGCTTTTTTAGTGTATGTGGTATTAAACCTGGTTGTCCTGAGGCTTGTGTGGGTCAGCTCTTTTGCTACCTGGACATAATTTCTGGAGAGAAGAATGGACATAGTGCCTGGGAACTCCAGGCAGCACAGCAGAGGTGAGCTGGGGGTTCACAGGAGACTGGCACAGGACTCATCTCTGCACTGAGATTCAGCCAGTGAGAAAATCTGATGTCGTGTGTGCCAGCCATGAATATTCTTGGCATGAGTTATTTCCAGAGGCAGGGAACTTTCACACAGACCTCAGCCTTCCCCCTCCCACCTTGACTGCAGTGGGAAATAAGCCTTTTATCCCACATCGTTGGCTTCCATGCACTTCACTTTCATCTCTACAGTTTCCCCTGACTCTTTGCCATCTTTTAAATCCTGCTTCTCCCAGGCTATTCTCTCTGTCCTCACTGGCCTAAAGCTCAGCTCAAGCCTGACATTTTGAGTATTGGTGGCCACATTAAAACCTTGATATGGCATTGAAGTAGCTGGCTCAAACCTCAGTGCTCCTTTGACCCAGAACTTGAAAGGGTTAACTCCTCTGCCTCTGAATCAGCAGGAATTCCATCAGGGCTTGCAGTAAGGGCTGCATCACTCCAGCCCAGCAAACATTTGACCAGGAACAGGCTGTTTGAAGTGAGATGGACAGAGTGCCTTCAATCAGGCCATGCAGGTTTTTCTGAGTGAGTCTAAAACCTCTTCAAACAGAGCTCTCTCTGCTGAGGTTGTGCTGGATGAGTGAAGGCATCCAGAGCCTACACAAGTTTTATGAAAGGCAAAGATCAGCCAGTGCTGGCAGGCCCAGACCCATGAGGAAAGCTGACAATAGTTGTGCGGATTGAAACACGAGATTCTTTTATTCAACAATTCCTCTAATGTTTCTACATCTTATTTCCAAAACTGTCCCTCTTTTCTTTGATATTTTGCCCAGGCTCTTTTTTTTCTTCTTCCCTTTTTGCCCCTGGTTTTCAAGTACATACAGAGATCACAGAGGCAGAAAAGCACTGGAATTCATTTCTCCAGTTCACACAATCCCTTTAGACCTCCTTCATCTTATACAATATTTTGATGTATTTGACTAAATTTAATCATGGAATCAGAATGGTTTGGTTTGGAAGGGGCCTTAAAGAATATATCTAGTCCAACCCTCTGCCATGGGCAGGGACACCTTCTTACCTTCTTCTGATATAAATTCAGACACCTTTATGATTCTGCTGAAGCTTTGTGGAAGAAATGGGCTTTGAGGCAGTCAGAGACAGACACCAGACATCTACACCAGTGCTCCTAAAGGCAGGATTTGCCCATTTAAAAGCAGAGAGGTTTCCTCTGCGAATTCTATTTCATGGTCTAACAGATCTCAGCATTAGCTACCTGCACTTCATTGTCAACCTAAATTTTCTTTTGCTCAGTTTCAGCCAATTACTCTTAGTTATAGCTGTAACCCTTGGATTATCTTAAAATAGTTTTCCCTTTTTAATGTTCACATCACTTCTGGGGTGGTTATCACCTCACTGCACCACGGGCAGGAGCAGCCTTTCACTGCCATTTCCCCAAGGTGGAGAAAAGGACAATGTGATGCTATAAAAAGGAGAGAACATGGTCAAATAATCCCTCTTCATTTTCATTTCCAGGAAATGTCATTACAGCCCTTGTAATGTCTCTTTAGGGCTGCTCTACAGACTTTGCTGAAAGGGGATTTCACGTTCTGGATCTCTGCTTGAGACTTTGGAAGAAAGCAAAGCGTGAAGGCAGGATTAGGAAGGGGGAGGCCAAACTTGCCACTGCATTGTGTGTGAGGAGCACTGGGATGTGGTCTGAGTGTGGGGATCAAAGGAGCTGTATGAGAAAGAAACCTTGGATAAAGGTTTCCATCATCCCAGGGCTCTGAGCTGCGCACTGGATGGGACAGAGAAGAAATAACAGCCTGGGAGCATGTGCCAATACCTGTTCATGGTGCAATTAGTGCTTTGTAGGTATCTGCACTGCTCCCCTAAAAATGTTCCATTTGCTCCTCATCTCCCAGTGTTACAGCACGCAGGGGAAGCACAACTGCTGCTCCATCTCTCTGAACAGACATTAGCAGTGCACAAAC